CACGAAATCGTAATGACACAATTGCAAACAAACCATACCACAGGCGGGATTTGAACCCGCGGTCAGAGAGTCTCAAAACTCCAGTGGCTAACGCGACGGTCTGGAGTTTTGAGACTGACCACGGGTTCAAATCCCGCCCGTGGTATGGTCTAAATCCTACATATATTGTCCTTAACCAAGAAATAAATGCACTTATGTACAATATTTATAAAGAATATGTACAGTGAGACGATTTGCCAGCAAGAGACACGGTGAGAACCATAGCGACCAGACCTAGAGACATGGTGAGAACCATAGCGACCAGACTTAGAGACACGGCGAGAACCATAGCGACCAGACTTAGAGACACGGTGAGAACCATAGCGACCAGACTTAGAGGTAAGTCTGCCAATGTTGATCCATGAGACAGATGTCCACAGACATCGCTTCACACTTTTGGTAAGCTTTCTCATGTTGGTTTGAAGCAAGCTGTTACCTTAACATGTGGGTCCTTCTGTAATACTCTTAACACCTGGTTCACTGGTCAGGAGGGCATGCCTATATATTCATGTGGCACACTATGTATATATGTAATGTACTCTTAGCATGCTACACCCCAACCCCAAAATGGCTCTAATAACAAGGACTAGGCATCCGTCTATAGGTAGTGTGTCACCATGGCATGAATTACTGATGTAATAGTCTTCTCAACCATCCAACTAAATAGTGCTCACTCCAAGGTGAAACTTTCAAGTCAAGCAGCGAAGTTTAGAGTGAGACAGCAGACAGTAGGGTTAGCCTAGGTTCAAGACACTTGTGCGCGAGAACGTTGTCACTCCACCTAAAAATAACTTAGAGCCATTTTTTCTTTATATATATTCTTTGACAACAAGGACAAAAATGAGATTATTACCCATGTTCTCCCTAACATACAAGTGACATCCTAATATTATTATAATAAAAAAGAAGCGCTAAGCCACAAGGGCTATACAGCGCTGCAGGGTAGGGAAGGAAGTGAGGGTATTGGGCGGCAGAGGGGGGGAGGGATGATTAGTAGGTTATAGAAAACAGCGGGGCAGGGGATAGTGCAGGGGTAGAGGGTAGCAAGAGATTGAGGTAGAAAGGGCTGAAGGCATCAGAGTTTGTGAAGTAAGTCAGTTGTTGTCAAAAAGTCAATGAGAGAGTCCGGATGAAAGGTGGGTCCATCAGCAAGAAGGGAAGGTAAAGAGAGAGCAGCAGAGCGAAGACGACGTTGGAGGTAAATTCTGCATGCTCGTTGATAAAGTGAGCAGTTTAACAGAATGTGGCTGACCGATAATGGAACCTGACAATTCTCAGAGAGAAGCAGGGTGTTTCTCCATGAGATATCCATAAGTAAGATGAGTATGGCCAATGCGAAGGCGGGAGAGAATAGTCTCCCAACCTCGACACTGGTGATAAGAAGACGGCCAGTAACCTATGCTCGGTTTAATAGAACAAAGTTTGTTATTGAGCAGAGCAGACCAACATTGTTGCCAACGGGTGTGAAGGTGGGTAGCTATTACAGCAAAATAGTCAGGAAATGGAACACCTCTATATGAAATTGGTAGGTCATGTACTGCTGACCGCGCAGCAGTGTCTGCCTGTTCATTGCCCTGTACGTCAACATGACCAGGGATCCAACAAAAAACAATATCTTTATGCTTGGTAGAGATACGGCGTAGCCAAAGTTGGATACGGAGAACTAGGAGGTGAGGTGTATCAAATTTCCGTATAGCCTGTAGAGCAATAAGGGAGTCTGGGACAACCACAAATGATGACACAGGCATAGATGCGATACGAATAAGTGCTGCAAGAATGGCATACAATTCAGCAGTAAAAATGCTAGCCGAAGATAGTAAATGCCCTCGCACAATGCTGTCCGGAAACACTGCTGCGAATCCGACACCGTCAGAAGACTTAGAGCCATCTGTGTACACGGCAATGGCATAAGAATGAGAGTGGAAGTGGTCAAGAAAAAGAGAGTGGGAAGCCACCGTAGGCAGTTGGGCTTTCGAGCAAGGGAGTGAGAAAGAACAGACCCGAACAGCTGGAACTTCCCAGGGGGGTAGGGAAAAGTGAGATGCTACATGAACATATAAAGGCGGTAAATGAAGCGAAGACAAGAGCGAATATAGGCGAAGAGAGAAGGGACGGAGCAAACAGGGGTGGTGAACAAATAAAGAATGTCTACTAATATCAGTGACCATTCAATCAATGGAAGGATTGCGGAGATCGTGAGAGCGTACATAGTAGCGAAGGCAATGGGCATCACGGAGATCAGACAAGGATGGAACATTCGCTTCTGCATAGAGGCTCTCAACAGGGAAAGAGCAAAAAGCACCAAGGCATAAACGTAATCCTTGGTGATGGATGGGGTTAAGGCTAGAGAGAGTAGCAGGAGAGGCTGCTGAATAGATCTGGTCACCATAATCGAGTTTGATAAAATGAGGGCTGAATGTAGGCGAAGGAGAGTTCGACGATCAGCTCCCCATGAAAGATG